TGTCTCATAAACGTGAGAAAGAGCTCATATATAGGAAGGGACATCAGATGCTGGGGCACTTATAATAACCATGTGCTCAATAATGCATGTAAGTAAAAAGAAAAGTGTGTAATCCAAAATATTCTTTAAACCCACCCCCCCCCCAAATCCCTGAAATCTTTCAGGTGTATGCCTACATACAAATATGCCAAATATCAGTAAGTCCAAGAGGGTCACTTTTTTTCTCCAGTGTTGGAATAAATCGTTACTATGTTAGTAGAGCAGCAAATGAAGTAACTGGATTGCACTGATATCATAAAAGAGTTTTTGGGGGGTGGGGGCGGTGCATCACTAGGTCTTTGTTGGGGCTTCCTTGCAGTAAAGTCTGCCTGCAATGCAGGAGACCCAGGTTCAGTCCCTGGGTTGGGAAGATCCCCTGGAGAAGGAAATGGCAACCCATTCCAGTGTTCTTGTCTGGATAATCCCATGGATGGAGAAGGCTGGCAGGCTACAGTCCCTAGGGTCACAATGAGTTGAATATGACTGAGCAATTGTTGGGGACTCAGTAATTGTGGTGAACAGCTTGGTTGTCCAGCAGCATGTGGGATCTTAGTTCCCCGACCAGGAATGGAAACCTCGTCCCCTGCATTGCAAGGCAGATTCTTAACCACTGGACCACCAGAAAAGTTCCAATGTTTTTAAATACTTAAGTTTTTCTTTAAAACACTAGACCTACACTACAGTAGTGAATGCTTACACTACATCAAGCTGAGGGGATAGCACACACCTCCAGACACTACTTAAATTATTATTTTTCTTTTTCCTTCTTTTCATCCTCCGTGTCACTTCCCAGTCCCATTCCTTTCCTCCTCCTCTTCCTCCTTCTCTTCCTCCCCTTATCCCTCCTCTTCCCCTTCCACCTCCTCTTCAGCAAAGAACCCCATTAGTTGCTCATATGATAGGGCTTGGCTGTTTTGCTCCATCTCCCTGACAGCAGGAGCAGAGATTTTGTCAACATTTTCTTACATCACTCTCTTCTATCAAGCCCAGAAAAAAAAAAAAAAGTTGAACTTTTCCTTTACAGATGGGCAAGCTGACATCTAAACAGGGATAGGACTCATCAGAAAAACACAGAACACGGCAGTGCCCATCAGCACTAGAGCCCAGACTACTTACTCACGCATCTCCTTAGATATACTTTCTTACTTTCAAGAGTCCAGACTTTGAGATGGGAGGCTAGACTCTCTTGGCATTAAGAGTTCCACAGAGCCATTGTTCTGAATTTATTTCCTGCTTCCCAACCCTGTGATAAGAATATCCTAGAAACTGGATTTTTCTATAAAAAAATCTTTCTCCATGTGGACTGTATACATTCTGCCTCAAATTCTCTTTGGCAGTTTCACAGTTTAAAAATACTTGAGCATCTCTTGAACGTTGTTTCTCCTCCTCATTGTAAGACTGCACTTTTCACTGCATTAGCTCCAGGAATGTCTTCCTTCCCTGCTGAAGCCACTGCCTCTTCGAACTCCTGATTCTCTCCACGCCTACTTTCCATTGGCAACATCTTTCCCAAGCCCATGCTTGAATTTATCCTCTTCAAATGAACTCCAAAAGTGTGAAGAACTTAAACTTCTTTCTTCATGCACTCCATAAACCTTCAGTTAGACTCAAGTATGAAAACCAAAGTTCAAAACATCTGGGAAACAGTCTCTAGTCCTCTTTCCCTGGAAATAGATATACCAGATGGACTACAAGTCCATGAAAGCCTTATGTGGACTAGATGTCAAAGAAAGCACGTGGAATGATCTGGGGGTTGACCTAAATAATGATAAGAAATTTCTGTCCCTACACTGACATTTTTTCTTCTGGGACTGTGGAGCAGAGGGTTGTGATCATTGTAACCCTTGATTTACAACATATATCCACCATCTATCTATGCAAAACCCATCTTCTGATTTGTGTATTTATTTATTCTCTTTTAACCCCATCCCCATAGGCAACCTCTGTTATCTGTTCTTCAGTCTCTGTTCTTGGCAATTGCATATTGTTACCAGTGCACATGTATTTTAATTCATACAGATGTTAAGATCCATATTGCTATGTGTGCATAACAATCCATTGCTCAGGATTACTTTACATCTCTACATTTTACTGATCTTCTCAGGACTAGACATACAGGCTCCCAACTCCTGCCTCTACAATTAAGGCTGTGACTACTATCCATGTATTATTTGCAGAGTGGGTCCAGTGCTAGGATTCCTGGATCATAGGGTACAGTGTTTGCTAGAATAGGTCACCCAGATTGCCTGTTCAGGACCAACAAAACCCCAGCTGCTGGGAGGGTTGGCTGCCCTCTTCTCTGAGTCCCTCCAGGGGACTTACAGAGCTGCTTTACACAAGGTTTGGGGCCCTCTAGGTCTGGACCTCGCTGTACAATAATGTGACAGGTGAGGTCTTGTGGTGATTATATTTCAATTCAACTTCTCTTGTCAGTTTCACTCCTTGAGACATTGTTCCTGTGCGTGCTTTCCAGGAATTTCCCAGCATGCACTGCTCTTTCAACATCTATTTGCCAGGGAACTGTGGGCAGTGTGTGTGTTTAATAGTGCTAGGTAGTCAAGGATGCTCCAGCAGAGCGTTAAGTGTCTTATATTACTTCATTCCTACAAACACTGGGGATTTTCTAGCAGTCCAATTTTGTAAATGCATTAGGTATAAAAAGGTATCTTTAAAACATTTTTTTCCTGCATTATCTCTGATTACTAATGATGTTCAGCCTCTCCTTTTACACTTAACAGTTTTTAGAGATTCCTCTTCTGTAAATGGCCTTAACATAGAATTTGACCATTTTCTCTTGGGGTTACTGTCTAGGTATTCATCCATTTTCAATTTAAAATATTGCAAAATCTCCCATTCTGTCCTTGGGTTATTAACTTATCTGACGTGTCCTCCAAAAGCCTTCAATTTTGGAGTAAATCTGGCAGATATTGTTGCCTATCTTTTGAGTTTTTAAAATTCTGTTTAGAAAACAGCTTCTCCCTCCATCACAGCAATGTTTTCTTCTAATAATTGTTTATTTTTACCATTCATATTTACACCTTACCTTTTCATTTTTCAATCCACTTAGAGTCCACTTGAATGTGATATTAAGTAGAAATCTTCTTTTATATTTCTCTGTGGAGTGATCTAGTTTTCTCAAGAATACCTACTAATAAATTCAGCCTCTCTCTTTAGATCTCTGATACTATCTGTTCACTGGTCTATTTACTCTTTGCCAATACCACACTGTTTATACTGGTATGACTTTGTAATATGACTCTACTTTTGGTACAACAATTCTTAAGTCTTTAGTCTCCATTTGATTATTGAATTAGCTTTTTCATATCTTTCACTGAATTTTAGAGTAATTTTAAAACAAATTTAAATTTTAGAGCAAATATGTAAATTGTCTCAAAATTCCCACTGGAATTTATATTTAGATTGAATTAAATTTAAGTACAAGAGAATTGGCATGCTTAGAATATGACCATGTTTATAATATAAATTTATCATCAGAGCTTTTAAAATATTATTTCTGTAAACTTTATGTGTTGTGGCTATTGTGAGTGATATTTTACTTTTTAAATTATATTTCCTGGATGCTTATAGCTGGTAAAATGAAATACTATTGATTTTTGTAGTTTGGTGGTCTATCCAGCTATCTTGCTGAACTTTCTTATTAATTCTGTTGATTATGGATTTTTCTTTTTATGTGTTTGTTTGGTAGATGAACATATCAAGTGCAAATGATGATGGTTTAAACCATCCCCTTTCAATCTATGGTCTTCTTCTCACTGATCTCTCTTCTGATTGCCAGCATCATGGAACAATAATAGTCATTCCAATTTATATTCCTTAATACTGGGGAAAAAAATTGCTTTTCATTCTTAGTTTGCAAAAGAGTTTAAACTATAACTAGATGCTAACACTTTCTTTAGCACTAAATATGAATGCATAATGTGTCACTTTTAGTCCCTTCCCTAACCCCTTTTGCAAAGCTTTTTGTTTCCGCGACTGTTTCTGAGCACTTCATGGCATTAGCTCCCAGCTACAAACCTAGGCCTAGAAGACTTCCCATGCTTGCTGCTGTGTATTTCTGCCATTACCATAAGAAGAAAATGCCTGGACCAATAAGGATGAGGGACTCATGGAACTGAGTTGCCTCGATTACGTCCATCCAGGTCAGTTGAATCCATCTTACTTGCAGATGCAGGAATGCAGAGCCAGTCTAGTCAAAGCTAATGGAGCTGCCCAGTCAAGATCAGCCAATACCCACCACTGGTCATTCCACAGATGTGTGAGCTCAATAAATACTTATTGCTACATGCACTGAAATTATGTGGGTTTTAGTTACACTGAATTTTCTGACAGCAAAGTGTCACATGTCAGTGGCCTCTATAGTCACCATCCAAGATAAAAATTCCAGCCAATAAAAGGAAATTCTCTCACCAACTCCCTGCTCACCATTGCCCCTGCCCCTCACCCACAGTTGCCCCACCTGCATGCAGCGAATGCACCATTGTCTCACCCACACAGGTTAGAAATATTGCTGGTGGCCCCTTGGGGTCTTCTTTGGTCATTTCCCCGGGATGTAGACATGACTGATTTCCCTAGGAGACCCAGGAAACCCTGATAACTGGACCCCAAACTCTGCCCTAACAAAAAAGAACACCAAATAATCCAAATATGTCTTGTGCCTCTAAAGCTCTTTAGAATCATAAATAGTTGTATGCACAGCCCTCACTTGAGATCCCCAAGAGAAAAAAGAGCAATTTCAGGGAAGGCAGCAGGCTTGGTAGGTTTTTGTTATCAAAACAGGATTTGTCAACCATTCATTCTGCTTCAACTTCTTTGGCTAGTGGCGTTGCTGCCAGGGGGCGTTGTCTGAACCTGCAGCTGCCAGGTTGGTGAGCCAGCCAGCATCCTTGGTCGGGAATCATGATTTTTTTTTTAACTAATTCTTATTGTTGTCCACTTCACAGTTTTGCTGCTGCGCTGTAGACCCGAGTATCAATTTTACTTGAAAATGCTGCAAAAACAAAAAGGTAATGCCACTTCCCACACTGTTTCAAAAGGTTTTTAAGTGGAAAAAGGTATTTAGTATTTTTAATAAGCATCTTCAATACTATTGAGTTGGTTTCTTTGTTCATATCACAAGATTAATTATGCTGTCAGACACTTTCAAGGCCTGCTTAACAAAGATTCAGTGATATAATGGTTTGCTTTGCACTGCCTTTTTTCTGCATAGCAATCACAATCAGCATTAGACAATTTAAAACCCTTTCACCAGCCGGAAGTTCTGAAGAGCCTTTTAATCAACAAAAGTAATTTTGCAAACAACTAGATACAGCATTTTTCATATTAACTAACTTGCATTTAAACTCTGCAGGCTTGATTCTTCGTGGGTCTCTGATTCAGGAAACTGGGTTATTCCGATGGCCTAGAATTTAAAAGTGGGGATCACAGCATATTGTCTGCCCTGGGAACCCCCTAATTTTCACATACCATTTCTCTACTCTGCTTATTAAAATGATAGCATTGGTATGCAAATGTAATTCATTCATTTTAATTATCTCTTTATGTGTATATATATATATATATCTTATCTAATCCATTAAACTATTTTTTAAAAAAAAATTTGGCTGCCCAGAGGGCTTCATCTTGCTATTTTTTGTAACAACAGCAATTTATGTTAGTATGTTGTAGTTCTATATAATTTTGTTTTAATTTGCTTGTTTTTCTTTTTTGGTTACTTGTGTCTGCCTGGAATGAGAGAATTCTACTATCATCACTTTTGAGATTTTAAAGTTCAAAATTTTTTGAGATTGACAATAATCAAGTTGAAATCTGAATTCCCTGTTCACACAGGGGCACAGTGGCAGCCCCATACAAAACTAAAGGTTGTGAGGTTTGGTACTTGAAAGATGCTTTCTTTGGGAACCATAGCAGGGAAACAGACATGCTTAGCTTTTTTTTTTTTTAAATCAGGCAGGTTTTTTAAAATGAAACTAACCTGTTAATGACACCTTTAAAACATTCATTTAAAAAAGAAAAAAGAGGAAGGGACGGCCCAGCAGCGTTGGTGATTTGTATGGTGGCTGTGTGTAGTAATTAGCGACTGCAGCAGTGGTGTCCACCCCCTAAACCTCCGTGTGTTTGACACTATTCCAGCCCTGGTGAGACGTGACCCTGGGATCTGGAGCCACAGGACACAAGGAGCAAGTCCTGTCACAAGAAATAACAGGGTCAGGAGACGCAACTAATGAAGTCATAGCAACTGGTGCACCGAGCCAATCAGAAGAGGCGCCAATCTGTAAATGAGGATATAATTAGCAGAAAAAATAACATGCTTTGGTTGAATTCGAGGGGAGCCTGTAATGACTGGATATTGAGAAAGATTCCAAAAGATTAGAGCAAACATTATGCAACAAAGAATACCTAATTAGGGGAAAAAAGTGAATATGCCTTAATTAGAGGGAAATACATGATTGAAAGACGCAGAGTTGTCTTTTAATATGAATGTAGTGATGAAGGTTAGTGCATAGCTCCTGGTTGGGCTGAGCTGAGCGCTCGGTGAATTAGTGGGAGCAGCACACACATCTCTTCGCAGATGATACTCTGTAGAGGGTTGCTCACAGAGGCCCCGAGCCGGCTTTGCCCACAGAGGCCCCGAGCCGGCTTTGCCCAGTGAGGTGCCCACAGGATAAGCTGCTTATAGCTGGTCATCTTGGCCCCAGAAGCCTCTTGCCCCCTAGGATATAAACATCCCCACGACTTGTCATGGAGCTTAAAATGCAGAAAGCAAATCAATAATTGTGCAAAAAATATGTCCATGTGTCAGCATCTAGGAACCTTTGATAGTTTCCTTTCAGATGTATAACTAGCAAGGTTTGGATGTTGTTTAGAAAATTAAAACAGAGCCATCTTCCTTCCAGGTCAGCTAGTCCAAGCAGGTGCCTCTAGTCACCCCAGCAGGGATGTGGGAGTTTTTATGATCCATGACAATGAAAAAAGAATGCTGTCAGCTACACTTCCTTTACTATAGCAGGCATTTCAGAATACAAGCCACTACTAATTTTTCCCCTAATAGACAAACTACATGTTATTTTACTTCCTCTCTTTTTCCCTTTTTCCCCAAACTGTTCTGAGTATTGATTTTCATTTATTTTACACGATTCTTAATTGTCATCATTAGCTATCTATGCCACATCCCCCTGTTTAAATACGCCCTGTCAATTTTGCGGCATATTTATAGATTAATTTAAATGTGTTTTTAAATTTATGACTGCATACCTTTGGTATGTTTGTAACATTAAAATACTTATGGTACAGAATTTTTTAATTAAAACTATTCATCAAAGAAAGTCCAGGTAGCGAGCATCTCCTTGTGTGCGGTGGGGGTTCTGGCAGCCAGAGCAAGCAAAATAATAGGTCAATTAAAAAAAATCTAAAGATAGCATTTGCAGAGACCCAATTGTTTAATGAGCATTTGCCAACCAATCCCCTCAAATTAAATTATGAACTTGTTTTTTTTAGTTATGGGCATCAGGGCTGCATGTGGCAGAAGGAGAGAGAAAGAGGCTGAGGAAGAGAAGTGCTCTTGCCCGGCTGCCTGCACACAGGGTTTGCTTCTTGGGGTCTGAGTGACAGGGTAACACCCCTTCCTGGAAACTGACTCTGGGAACTGCAGGCAAATTCGCACTTCCTTGTATCCAGGTGGCTCTGATCTGCAGGGCCATGCCAGCTTTGCCCGGACCTCTTAAAACCCATAGCTTTACCCTGCCAGACTTCAGCTTGAGAACCTGTTCCACTCTGCCGCTACTGAAACGGACTTTCTCACGGCAGTCACTGGCTAGAAAAAAAATCTCTTCTGTTCCTTGCCCATGTGTGTTCCTAGCTCACTTTTGTGGAAGTGTCAGCTGCCTGGAGAACAGGAGGACCATCTGAAACAAAGAGTGCATCAAGGGTGCCCTTAGCTGGTGCTTCCCAGGGATGCTGCTGGGGCTGCTTCTGAAGAGGAGCCCTGGCCTGAAAGGCCACTCGGAGGAAGCAGGCACTTGACTAGTCAAAAAGCCAAACCACATCCCAGAATGCGGTTGTTGCGGCTCTGTGTCAAAGTCCTGGAAATAACCAGGTGCTCTGGGGCTCTCCAACTAGGAGTGATAAAAAGAAAGACTCAACTTCATCCTACTCAGCCAGTCAGTGTACTTGATGCTGGGTTTTCGAAATTCCTCAATCTTCCTCTCTTATTCTCTCTTGGGTAGACCATAAATTTTTGTATTTTCCTTCTATTTTATAACAGTTATCTTTTAAATTAGTAAATCATGGACCCCGGATCTTATTAATAAGTTTCATATTTCCTACACTTCAAAAGTAACATTTCCTAAGAGCAAAAGGGATGTTTTTCATCAGTATCCATATTTTCATAATGTTTGATCAGTATTTTTTCTATTTATTGTTCTTACAATTTTTAGATTCACCTTCCTGTTTAGATTATCACAGACCCAACCCAAATGAGAATGCTTCTTACAAATAGGATATGATTTTTCAAAATAGAAAATTATTTATGATATTTCAAACATTTGGTATGGATAAAATTGACTTACACCTTATTGCTAATTTTATTTTTTATATTCAGCTGACTTTGGGGTGGAAATATTAGTGATAGGGCTAAATTTCAGTCCCTAAATACATAGCATCAACAATGAAATGCGTTTCACAGTGTTCTAACATGAATTAGATCACGTCAAATTTATTTTGTATCAAATGTTAGAAAAGTGAAACACTTCTATTAATTTGCCAGTTGGACACAGGGCAGCTAGGAGATTGCTCACTTGACATCCTCACCAGGTTTGGGCCTTTCTGGGGGCATCCAGGGAGCAGAATCAGCTTACATATAAATATTTGGGTGGCCAATAGGAAAGCTGTTTCATGCACACCCTGCCATTCACTCCCTGATTTATTTCTGATGTGAGCTCTTATCAAAATGTCCCCACTGACAAGAGGGGGGCAAAGGCAGACAATAATAGAGATAGCTAATGGAGCAAGGTTACACTGGAATTGGACCAAATCCTCCTTTTACCCGACTTTGAATGCTAAATGAATCACTCAGATTTATATGTAGGTGGGAGCTCCAGAAGGTCCGCATCAGGGCAAAATAGGGTTACAATTCAATAAAATGCGTGGCAGTGCTTTATTGACTAATGAACCCACCGTGCCGCCAACTGCTGTATTTTACTGTCGTCGACCATAACTGCCTGGCAATTACACTGTGAGTGTTTGCTAAAGACGTGCCTGTCTTTCCCCAGATCTGGAAGCAGGTTCAGAGAAGAGAGGCTCCGGGAGGAAGCAGGTCGCACAGCTCTCCAAGTCTTCCGGGGACAGAAGCCAGGTACCAATAATAACAGTACAAACAAGTTGATGCTGCTATTTTAAAATAAGCTGTTATTATTGACTAACAGAGGTTGCCGTGGGTGGGATGACAAAGCCTGGGAGCCAGAGAGTTGCTGCAAAGACTTCCACTGGAGAACTCGTTAATGAGAAGCAGCTAAGTGCAGAGTCAAATGCTGGCGGCCATCCTTTCTGCTCCATCTTCTCTGAAGCAGAAAGCGAGCTGCTGGCCGCGGGCTCTTTCAAGATCTCTTCACTCTTCAGTCTCTGCCATCCGCCAAACATTCTGTCTGTGGACGTGTCCCATCATCAGGTAAGGTGAGGAGCTGACGGCACGAGGAGTGACATGGCAGAGATGCTGGGGTTTGGCAACAATCAGGGGTATTTTTCTATATATAAAAAAAAAGAGCGGTCACCACTACAGGTGGCTCTGCTCCCACATATGCAGTCGATGTCCCCTGATGCAGGAGCCAGGGCAGTTCTAATGTGATTCTGGGCACGCGAGTGTATATACATCCACATGCACACAAGGATGGGCTAAGTTTACTCCAGACTGTTCTGTACTTTAGTGCATTTGAAATGAACCTCAGATGGGAAAGTTCAGTGCCTGTGGCACCTGGGCCATTTGATGATGTACTGGCTACCTGGTGGCCTGAGCAGGATGGGATCAGCGTATAGAAACTCTGTAGCCTCATGCTCTGAAGGCTGGATGAGGGCAGACCAAGGGAGCAGAGGGTGAACTGGCAACATGGTTACTCCTAGTGCAGAGGGTTTGTATAGGTGGCTTAGGTCCTGTACCTAGGGGATGTTCAGGGGAGGAATTATTGAAACTCAGGGGCTATTTCGAGTAAAAACTAGTTACAAAATGATTCACAGAGTATGTTTTCATCTTAATTTTTTTAACCCAACCAAACATACTGAATACATTTACACGTGAATAAATGTGTACAAGTGATCTAGAAAGAGACATCTCCACCTAAGATTATGCTTGTTAATATTATACAGTGTTAACATCATGCCAGGCACGGTTCTAAATATTTTACATATATTAACATGCCTACACCACTCACAACAATCCTATGGGGCAGCTACCATTCTGATGACAGAGAGGGACGTTAAAGTTCACAAAGGTGAAGCCACTGGCCCAAACTCACACAGCAGAAACAACAGAAAGAGGGCTCAACTCCAGACTGTCGGGCTCTGGAATCCATGCTTATAGTCCTCCACCATCTGTCTCCTGTCCTGATAAGGTGGTGCTTGGATGAGATGAAGTTAAGAATGGTGGTGATCAAAAGGAAGTTCAATACAAAACACTCAGTGCCACCTGGACACCACAAATAGCCTTATGCTTTGGAGCAGGACCAATCAATCATGCTAAATTCATCTTGTTGAGTTATGTTTGGTTGGCCTTTACTATTTTTGATTTAAAATTAATGAGTTTTCTGGTTGTGGTTTTGTCTACATTTCATTTGTGAATTTGCTTGGTTTTCAGCTGCCCCACCGCTCTGCATTTCAGGTGTACAAAATGAAGACACTGGTAGAAATAGATCTTCTGCAGCCTTCAGCTGCCTTCCTCTTCACCCTTGGCAACATCCTCTGGAGACACCCATTCCCCACCATCTCTTTGCCTGCTTTCTTCCCTCCTCAGTGATCTGCAAGTCTTCTCTCAAGACCAGTTGCTGCTCTAGGACAGTCTTGGGATCCCACTCCCTAGACAGTGTCTGACCTTAGTAGGCCTTAGCACATTAAACACATATGAAGGGAATTGGAAAACTCATTTATGCTAAAGAGTTAGTGGCTTATATGGAGGTGGTATTCATGTGAAAAAGGGCATAATGAAAAGCTGACTCTTTGGAACAGACCCTAATGCTGGGAAAGATTGAAGGTAAAAGAGGAAGGATGTGGCAGAGGATGAAATGATTAGATAGCATCACTGACTCAATGGATATGAACCTGAGCAAACTCCAGGAGATGGTGAAGGACAGGGAAGCCTGGTGTGCCACAATCCATGGGGTTGAAAAGAGTCGAACATAACTTAGGAACTGAACAACATGATGAATTTAGTAGAAAAAAATAAAGATGGGATTTCAGGCTTCATAAGACTTGAGGAATACGGTGCCCACTTATCCACATATCATCTTGACCTTTGGGGTAGTGATGAAGTGGGGAGGTCTTAACCTGGCACAAGGGTCTGTCAAGATATTTCTAAGTTCTTTAGCTTATATGTCAAGGCCATAATTGGGGAAAGGCATGAAGACAGACAGAGGGACCTGAGGCATTTGGGTAGAAGGATCTTCCCTGGCTCCAAATGTAGAGCATGTTTCCCGCACACAGGGAAGTTTCAGTGTTGTAACTCTGGTCTGCGGCAACATTCACTTCCTCTCTGAAGTCTGTTTTCCTAGCAGTAAAAAAGAAAAAAGAAAGTGAAAACTGTGATCTCTAAGGGCCTTCTCGTGGGACATCCACAAGACCTGGATTGATGGAACTCACTTCAGAAGATGATGCCCTGAAGGATGATGCCCTGGAGGTGTTGTTAGTTTCCTCAGTCCCTCCCACCAATCAGAACATCCCATTAAGTATGTGTCATTAATGTGTCCTCTGTTCTTACCAGAAGTAAGGCTGGTCCAACCCTACTCCATGGCCAGGTCAATGGGGAAATATCTACCTGTGTGGAGGGGGCCATTCGCCTCTGCCCAAACTCCAAATGCAAAGTCCAGAGCTGGGGACATAATGGGAATTTGAGACACTCGGCAGAGAACTTTAAGTCCATAAACCATAGACAGTATGTAGTCGTTCATCTGTGACAGACATAATAGGAATAATCGTCACTTAATAAGCAATCCAAGGCTAATTAAATGTTACTAATATACATTACAAAGATTCTTTTTATTTTTTTTCTCTCACTCCTTCAGAATACCATTTGCAAGAGTGTACAGAAAAGATCTTGCACATGAATACTGAGGAAAATACTGGGAAAAAAAGTCTTCTTCAGTGGAGCTGAGGAAGAGCCATCACTCACTCCTTGACAACCCTTCAGAATCTCTGCAGGCAGATGGGTCCACAAGCTGAAATAGGGGCTGCACAGAATGAGCCGGATATCCTGCAGCCTTACAACTAGTGTGGCCAAGCAAGGTACTGGCCCCATGCTGCCAGCCCCCATCCTGTGTGGCAGCCTTTCCACGTGAAGACTCCATGCCTGATTCACCTGCATGGCAGCAGGTACCGAGCTATGCACTAAAATTACTCTTTACAAGCCCCTGAATCCTTTATACTTGGTGGCTTCTGACTCTGGGGGAGGGCCGTGCTCACCCTAGGGTGGGAGGACTCAGTGGATATGCACGAAGGTCCTTTGGTATCAAAGGACCTTTCCCCCGGTTGCTGGGAATGTTAGTAGTAGACAACTCTCTGCTGAATTCCTCTCTGAAAATTACTCTCTTCTGAGGACAGTTGATTTCTCCAGGTCGTATGGCAGCCCTGGGGGATGCTGGTGTCCAGTGACAAGTCAGGTGGATGTACAAAGATAGGCAATTCTGAAGATCCATCCCAGTTCCTGAGCTCCCCGTGGGGTTGGCCAAGGCTTGGGCATGACTGCATCCTAGTTCAACTTCTCCCTCTGCTCAGTCCTGTTTTCCTCCCTGAAGTACTGGTTGATGCCAAGCACAATCTTGAATTAGCCTCCCGCCTAAAAATCTAGGGCCCAGAGTCTATTTTCTGCTCCCCTACCCTGGATCCCTGTATGGTGGCTGAGCTGCAAGTTCATGGTGTGAGGATTTGATTCAGACACTCAGTTCCCAGCTGACTGTGGCTCTGAGCTGGGCTCTCCAGACACAGACCTGAGCCAGAAAGTTCTCCTGTGAAAATGGCTCCTGCGAGAGCATTCTGAGTTGAGGTTTATAGGAGATGGAATGAACAGAGCAGAGCAGGAGGAAGATTCCAGCAAGACGGGGTCTCAGGGACGTTCTAGCCTTGAATTCAGGGGGAGAGTGTTCTGGAGCATGAACCACAACTGGAAGCCAATGCCTTTTGTATCAGTCAGTCATTGATTGTGGTTGCCGTGGTGATAAGAATCAGGGCATAGCTTCTTGAGGGGTAGCTCCCATGGCAAAGAGCAGTTCTTCAGAGAAGGAGCAACTGAGAGCCAGTACCCTGGGGAACGGGTGGGCACAGCGTGTGCTGTACCACTTGTCCTGATGCCGGGAAAAAAGCTTGTCGCCCATGAGCTGTGTCCACCCTGGTCACAGGAGACCCAATCCATTCATTTCCTGTCTGAACCATCATCACTGATGAATTGAGAGAAAGGATGCTCTTATATTTGCATGTTTAAAAAATTTGTTTTGCAAGCTTTTTCTCATTTGCAATCTCCTTTTTTCTTCACAACCACACTGAAGCAGGTGAAATTGGTGTTGCTATTCCATTTCACAGATGGGGAACACTAAGTCCTAAGAGATGCCAGACTAAAAGTCACCCATTTTGAGGCAGAGGTGGGGCTCAATACGGCCTTCCAGTGTGTAACTCAGGGTACTGGAAGTCAGGCAGGGATCCCTTGGTGCCACCACCAGCGGAAGAGCACACATTATTGTCTATGAAGTGCACAACCTGTGCAACTGTATCAAGCTACCCTGGGCCCACTCATACTGACCTGAGCTGGAGCCAGACCACCCTAGAGACCGTGGGGATTCCCCTCTAGCCTGAGTCAGCCACTTTTCACTGGTCTAGTGCACTCTGCTCTGCCTCCCACTGCCTTCTTTTCCTTCTCAACGTTTCTGCTCTTCAGAACTTCAGCTTGCAAGAGTTTTCAGCTTGTCACTATGGCTCTGGCTTTAACCAGACCTAACTCCCTAAAACTAGCCTGCTAATGGGCAGTCCCTGACCCCACCCTCCAACACTTTTCTTACTCTCCCATTCCTCAGAGTATATTGGCTCAGCTTATCTTTTGATGCTGGGTGAGAGGTCACAGGCCAGTCAAGGGATTGTTGGACTTCTGATGTTCACCCAGACCCAGGTCACCGGGTGGGATTACCTGGTATAAAAGGTGGCCAGTGCCCTTCACAGGGTCTATGAGGGCAGACCTCTCTAGTGCACCAGGTCTGGACTGTCACCTCTCAGGGCATCAGGGGCAGATCGTGAATTGAAGTTCTTTCCAACTCTGAATTCTATGATCTTAAGGCCCAAACCATACCCCTTAGAAACAAACCACAAGGACAACTCACCATCTGGATGGCTGATCCATTTGCAGATATCTTCCTAGTCAAGCCGCTGGGCTGTAGACAGGATCTCAGCAGGCCGTGCCCACAGACAACATGCATCAGTGTCTCACGTGGTGATCCACAGGATCAGTACATCTGGTGCCCTGGAGGGGGATGGGCTTCAGCGATAGGCAGACAGATCTCTCCTGACAGAGAAGATGGAAAAAGAAAGTGCTATTCGTTGAAAAAAAAAAAAAAAAAAAAAGAAAGTGCTATTAAAAAGAAAGAAAAAAAAAAAAGACACTCAATTTGAGGTCAGAAGACCCACACTATGACATTGGCCAATCAAAGGATTCCTACAAGCTGACATTTCTTCACTTGAAAATGTGGACACCAGTTTGGAAACTGACCAGGCAGATGTTTGTGAAAGCCAGAGGTGGATCCTGGTGCTCAGCACAGGAGCACGCAGTAGTCACATCTTCGGGGACACTCCTGTCTGGAAGCAGCCTCTCCTGGGCTTGTGCTGGCCGTGGTGGCACAGGGCCTTGCATCTTTCCTGTTTGCTCATTGTCCCTGCCACCTCCTACCTTCCCTCCATCATGGCTGAGTCTTGCTCCCTGGCCATGCAAACAGGCCGTTCCTTCTGGAGGGGAGCAACAGCCCTGAAGGACCCAGATGCTCAGCTCCAACCTCTACCCCAGGGCTGTGTCCTGTACACTCACTATGTTGCCCCCCGCCCTTTTTTAAAGTTTGTTTCTTTTCAGAAGCCCACACAGTGTGAGGGGAGCCCTGCGTAGCATCTACCTCTCTTATATACAGTAGCTTGTTTTATGACTTTGTTTTAAAAACTATTGGCTTAGGGTGCAATAACACAGATGTCTTTGCCTCACAAGAGAACCGTGAATTTCCACTTCTCTCTCCTCAGTGACAGCTCCATTACCTTCCATGGATAGTCTCTTCTTTGGCCCTGCAAAAAGCAGGGGGAAAATGGTGTTTCTCCCGCAATTGGCCCTTACCGCCAGGGCCACTGGATCAATAGCGCTGGCGCCCACACTCCCTCCGTGGGCCCTCTGCATCCTGGCCCTCAGTCCTGTCGCAGCCTCCTGGTGGTGGAGGAACATCACGTCTGAATCCCCAGAGGAGTGCTAAAGCCATCACGAAAGAAAGATCTGTTTTCTCGCTTGCGTCCTGCAGGCGTTTCTGTAAGTGGTGGCAACCCAGTGGCGGGGAAACTTTGTGGGCTGCCTTCCTAAATCTTCACCTGCCTGACCTCAGCTTGACAACTTCTTAACAGGCGCAGAGAACAGTCAATGCTCCGTGCGGAGCCGAGCGCTCCATCAGCCTCTCCGGCAAATGTCGGGAGTCCGGGCTGGATGCGAAGTGGGGAGAGCGGGAGGCAGATTTACACGCCTATCACTGCGGGCACGCGGCGGAGTCAGCCTGTCTTGTGCTCACAGGCAGAACTCTTCCTGCTCGGTAGCATGTCACATTGTCATGCTGCCTCTTCCCTATGTGTAAAGTGGTAAGGTGTGAGTTTAATTAGCATAGAACAAAATTTCTTACTCTCTAATAATAACACCTTGAATTTTGATGTTACCTGCTCTCCAAGGAACTCAAAGCATTAAAACAAAAATGCACTTCTTCATTGTGTCTCATCTGACTCCAGAGACAAGGGTTAGAGCCCCATTCCGCTGACAGGGAAACTGAGGCGGAGGGCTATTCTTGGTTTACTAAAGCTCTGAAGGAGCTTAACTGCCCTCTTTTCTCTTAATAGTTGTCCTTCAGGTTTATGCAGAATGTATGCGCTTCAATTCCTTGAAAAACAAGGGTGATGGGACTCATGTAAGGGCTGCAATAAGACTGCCTTCAGACAAACGGCAAGTGACATTCATGAATGGGTTGGGTAGGGTGTACCCAGCCGGAAGTGGCTGGGCCTGGACAAAGCAGAAGGGGCTGCCTTGCTCCAGATAAGTGTATGCATGCGAGACAACAAATCCAGCATCATCAAGTCCTCTAATACATACATCTACAAATGTTGACACCCAGTCCCTCAAAAAAGTATAACATCCTCTCTTTTACAACTGATATGTGTCCTATTGAGCACAGCCTCCAGTCCATGACTTTTAGATTAAGGTAGCGTTTGCACACTAAGACTAGCGTGCTAGCTTGTGGATGGCATGTTAGGCTGGATTGAGAAACACACTGGCCTGAAACAGGTGGAGGCTCTACTCTAACTGTTGTGTGAGATGCTGGGTCCCTGGAGCATGGCAGTGACATGGAAAGAAAGAGATGAAGCCCAAAGAGGTGGAGGAAAAAGAATGTAGTCCATTAAATGAAGGGACTGAACCTCAGTTCAGTTCAGTCACTCAGTAGTGTCCGACTCTTTGTGACCCCATGGACTGAAGCATGCCAGGCCTCCCTGTCCATCACCAACTCCTGAGTTTACTCAAACTCATGTCCATTGAGTCAGTAATGCCATCGAACCATCTCATCCTCTGTTGTCCCCTTCTCCCGCCTTCAATCTTTCCCAGCATTAGGGTCTTTTCCAGTGAGTCAGTTCTTCGCATCAGGTGGCCAAAGTATTGGAGTTTCAGCTTCAGCATTAGTCCTTCAAATGAATATTCAGGACTGATGTCCTTTATGATGGACTGGTTGGATCTCCTTGCAGTCCGAGGGACTCTCAAGAGTCTTCTCCAACATGACAGTTCAAAAGCATCTGAGCCTCTCCTAACTGGAGAGCCCAGGGTCAGGAGGGTAGTAGTGCCTTTGATGAGGACAGAATTGCTGAGATAAGCCACTTATGGGATATGGGACTGGAAAAGGTGACTGTGAGGGTTTCTACATCAGGAACTCCAGGTAGAAAGAGGACAGGTAGGGAGGGTTGCCCTCTGTCCTGTATGTTTTGGGGTTTCTTTGTTTCTGAGGAAGGTATACATTATAAAAATTGTGAGATCAATTTGGTCTTCAGCTTGAGGTCACTGACTTTTTATTTAGCCAGGTGAGCACCTGAAAAATAAACAAATATCCATAGCAGCTGTGTCAATTTTGTTGGAGAAAAGAGTTTCTCAAATTATAATGTATCTCATGATAGTCCTTTAAGGGAAATAAAATTTAGCTTAATAAAAAACATTATTCCTTAGCTTGTATATATGTATTTATTTTATCACGAATGGACATGGGTCCATGGATTACTGTTTGAGAGCCACTACTCTGACCCTCAAGAAGTAGCTGAGAGGAAAAGACTTGGGCTGGGTTTTAGCACCAGTCACAAGAGGGGAGATTTGTGAGCTTGAGGAATCCCCAGCACCGCTAAGACAGAGAGGCACAAAAAATAGCTGCTCTATTCTAAGACCCAGAGGATGTTCTCTGCCAAAGGCTTGGGGAAGAAAGAGCGAGGAGACAGAAGGAGCAGTGGGGGTGATGGGGCGGGTGAACCAGCCCTCAAGGGAGGATGCACTTGGCAGAATAAAATCAGTCCTTTGGCTCAATGGGCATCTTGGGTTGTCTGGAGCCCCATCTGATTCATTTTAGGGGCAGAGACAGAGCCTTCTGTGCCCCTATGAGAAGAAAGTTTGGAGTTTGAGACACAGGGATAGCCACCTTCCTCTGGACACCAAGAACAGTAGGTGAACTAAGTTGGGTAGCCATAGGGGTTACACTGGTCCCCAGAGGCTGGAGGACAGCCCCGCACAATGCATAAACTCAGATGGCTGCTTTCTGGGCAGTGGTCTCTCTCTGCATTAGGCCCCCAGGCTGACATTGGTGAAGCTTCTCCCGACGCCCAGGCAAGAGTCTTTCGGTGGGATGAGGATTAACCATGGCTGTTAGTGCTTGTGGAGGGGGCGCCTCCCCTCCCCTCACCAGAAGTGTGTGCTTCCTGGGGATCATGAGTTAATGCATCTCATAATGTTGTTGGTTTGTTGGCTGCTCCAGGTTTTGTCTGTTTGGAAGTTGTATCCCAGGGCGCCCACGAGTCACCTGGCTGTGGTTCCACTTGGATCAGGGTTTGCCATTAAATGCAGTGAGGAGCTCGGGCCATTTATCACGGTGAATCCAGTGCCTAAGTCTGGGAGGAAATGGTCATCGCTCCAAATCAGATCTGAGTCTCCCTGCCAGGAGCCGAGTAGGGCTAGCTCTGCTGGATTTCTGGGCTGAGTTGTATCTGTTTGTAAAAATGAATGCTATTCATTTAATTCCTCTTCTGGATTTTATCCATCCGGCAATGACTTTCACTGGTTTGCATATTCATTCATTCATTAAATGTTTACTGAACTCTTACAGTCTACCAAACCTTGTACTCGTTACCATAATCAAATAACATTCTTGTCTCATATTCTAGAGGAGAAGACAAACATAAAACAGCAACTAGGTAATTTCACAAAGTAATAAATGATCAGAAGAAAAAGCAAAGAGATTAATATTATAACAAACAACATAACCAAAAAGTGAGCAAAAGACCTCAACAGACTTTTCTCCAAAGGAAGACATACAGAGGGCCAATAAACACATGAAAAGATGCTCAACATTGCTCATTATTAGAGAAAGGCAAATCAAAGCTACAATGAGATATCACCTCACACTGATCACAATCATCAAAAAATCTACAAACTATAAATGCTGGAGAGGATGTAGAGAAAAGGGAACCCTCTTGCACTGTTGGTAGGAATGTAAATTGAAGAGCCGCTATGGAGAACTGTAAGGAGATGCCTTAAAAGACTAGGAATATAACTACCATATGTCCCAGCAATCCCACTACTGGACATATACCCTGAGAAAAGCACAATTCAAAAAGACACATGTACCCAAACGTTCATTGCAGCACTATTTATAATAGCCAGGACATGGAAGCAACCTAGATGTCCATCAACAGATGAATGGATAAAAAAGCGGTGGTACATATATACAATGGATTATTACTCAGCAATAAAAAGGAATAAATGTGAATCAGTTAAACCAAGGTGGATGGGCTTAGAACCTGTAATACAGAGTGAAGTAAGTCAGAAAAACAAGTATCGTATGTTAACACATGTATATGAAATCTAGAAAAATGATGCTGATAAGTCTGTTTACAGGGCAGGAATAGAGACACAGACATAGAGAACAGACTTGTGGACATGGTGGGGAAGGGAGAGGGCGAGACAAATTAAGGAAGTAGCACTGACGTGTATTCACTACTATGTGTAAAATATCTAGCTAGTGGAAAGGGTCTATATGATACAGGGAGCCCAGCCTGGCACCCTGTGATAACTTAGAGGGGTATGATGGGGGTTGCGGTGGGAGGGAGGCTCAGGAAGGATGGGCTATACATACAGTTATGATGGATTCATGTTGTTGTATGGTAGAAATGAACACAATATTGTAAAAATAATTATCTTCCAATTAAAAAATAAATTAAAAAAAAAGAGTGACTGGGTTTCTTTAAGACAGTTGTCGGAGATGTTCCCTCTAGGGAGGTGGTATCTGAGAAGATCGGAATCCACTCAGGGCTGAGGGCCTGGGAGAAGATTATTCCAGGGGCAGATAGTAGCAAGTGCCAAGTTTTTCTTAGAGGAATGAGCGTGGCATGTTTGGGGAACAGACAGAAGACCATTACAGTTGGAACAGGCAAGCAAGGTGCGACTGGTGGAAGATGAGGTTGGAAGAGAGGTAGAAACCAGATAATGCAGAACCTTACAGGTCATGATGAGGCTTTGGGATTGATCATATTAGAGTTCTGAAGAAAAGCATTGAAGAGTTTTCAACTATAATGTATATCAGTCAGAACAGGAGAGGTTGTGGTGCAGTAACTGATAACTCTGAAATTCCAAGAACTTAAAATAATTTCTCCCTCAGACCATAAGTACATCTTAAGTCAATGGAGGAGATTTGCTTCTCACCACGTGTGTTAGCAGACTCAGCTTGACAGGCAATCCACTGTCTTGAATGTTACTGGTTCCCATGTCTTGGAGAAGGCCAGTGGCACATCACCCACCGCCTTAAAGGTACAAATTCAGGGAGTGAAATAGGCAACTTTCATCAATTTCCATTAACCAACTAGGTCACACGTTTTTGCCTGTCCTCAGAAAGATGTGTTGCTAGCCTGAATGATTAGCATCCAGGGCCCCTGCTGGTGGAGGAGAGTCCAGGGACCCAGCAACAGTCTCTGGTGTCCCTGCGATCGTGGGCTGTATGGTCCAGTGTTCACCTTGTTAGAATCATTTTCCCCCTAAATAAGGCTAATCCAGCTATTGAGTTTAATTGCTAATGTAGTTGTAAAGACTGGAGCCATTGATTTAAATTTTTGCAAAACGTTGGGATAGAGCTCTGAGAAAGCAGCTAAGGGGGAATCTCAGTGCAAGACCTGGACTTGGATATGACCCTGGGCTGTCGCTGGCCTGCTCCCTGCTGGTGGGCGCCCACCTGCTACCCACCTCCACAGCAGCCTGGAGAAGGTGTTTGCCTGCATTGGGTGGCCCCAACAATGGTGAAGACCAGACATCC